CGTGAGAAATGCTCAACTTTACCAAAAAATTAGAAACGACTGCGTTTTGCAGCGAACGACCGCCCTCAACCAAATATGTAAATGAACATTCAGTTCATGCATTTTTGTGCGTTTTTGCCTATATGCAAATTGCAAAAACGCATATTGCAACGGCCCTGTCTGTGTGTGTGTATTCTGTGTGTGTATGTGGGTGTGTGCGTGTGTGCGTGTGTGTATTCGTCTGTCTGGGTATTTCAACTCGGCAACCAAGCAAGTTCCAGCGCCCAGATTTTACTAATGGGTACCCCGGCCAAGTGCCACCCCAGGACAACAGTACAAACGTTCACGCACGTCTGAGTCTCGCGTGCGAGAAGGTGAAAGTTTTGGCGGGAAAATTGATAACTCGGGAACGAGAAAAGACAGAAGGCTGAAACTTTAGGATTATGTGCCCATACCATGCGCGACCCTTCCATTTTAATTTCATCCCCTGCAAACGCCTGGGTGCCGCGTACGGAAGTTTCAAAAAAATATGCAAATTTTTTGGCGGGAAAGCGATCTCGGGAAACACAGGAGCTAAGGGGTTGAAACTTTGTAGAGATATTCCCTGTGCATGTACTGGCTAAAAATTTCAAATTTAGCCCCCAGGTATGCGTTATACTCACGTAAGGGCGTATGAAATTTCTGCGGGAAAATTACTAACTCGGCAGCCCGAAAAGTTGGAAGGCTGAAATTTTAGGGGAATGTTCCATTTTCAAGTACAACCTAAGTGTTTCAAATTCAGCCCCCGTTGTGCGTGCTAGCCACGTAAGGGCTTATGAAATTTTCTGCGGACAAATTACTAACTCGGGAAACGAACAGCTGGGAAGCTGAAATTTTGGGGGGATGTTCCCAAGTAAAACTTAAGCATTTCAAATTCAGTCTTGAGGTATGCGTGGTTCTTACGCATGGGCACTTAAAATAATGGCTGAATTTCTGACTGAACGATTTGGTTTCTTTTAAAAAATGATTGTTGAATGGAAATTGTACATGTACTTTATGCAAAATTTATGGTGATTTATGCTATCAAATGTAGGTGAAAAATAACGATCATTCAAGCAATTAATGACCTGAGTACTTCAAGTCTGGTGCAAAAAAGCATGATCGCACGGGCGCACCCGGTGCGTTCCCGCCTGGGTTTGGCAAACGACGACTCGAGCAACACTTCCACTTTCTAATGAACTGGAAATTTGCATTTTTTCGAAAAGCTAGCATTTACCGAAAAAACGACCTGGCTTCAAGTAAGAAACTGGTAATTATGTACCTGGATATCCGTGCCGCTCTATAATGCGCCACCTTCATCCCAACCGACTCCCTTCCTTGTGCATACCGGAACGGACTAAAGCACGGTCAATATGTGCCTAAGTATTAGACTTCAGCGCAGGGGCCATTTTTACTATTAGCGACCTGCGAGTTTAGCGCAAAAACGCATGATCGCACCAGCAAGTCTGGTGCGTTTCAGCCTGGGTTGTAGTAAGTTGTGGCGAGTGCACATCTGGTAAAAACGCCAGTGTACGATTTGCTCCAGTCAGTACAGCGGATGGAAAAAATCAAAGTTTTCAAAAAAATCCAGAAATCTCGAACCCAAAAAATCGGATATTTAGCTCGGCACTTAAGGTTGTTCGTCTAAATACGAGCTAATATTAAGTACTAAAAACCGCGCTTTCAGGGCTTACTTTGAAAAAATCACAAGCACTGTCTAATGGGCAAACAAAAATCAAAAATTCTGAACTCCCCTCTTGCTCCATTTTAAATTTATAAAACTGACCTAAATCTGCACCGAGATTTATAGGCTTGAATAAGTTCACGTGATGACGAAGAGTAGAAAATTGATTTCAGACTAACTGCATTCAGTTATTTGATGAACTAACATTTTTAAACTTCATCTTTCTACCTTCCTCGGTCGATTCGCTTTAAGAATCAGCCTATGCCAGCATTTGAGTTCAGGGTTACGGTCCAAAACCCAATAGAGTTTAGGACCTCATTTCGCACTACTCGTCACGCGTTCTTTGCATTTATGCAATGCAAAAACACATACTGGCGAGGGGTTGTCAATGTGTGTGCCCGTTCGTCTCTATTGAGTTTTCATTTCGAGACCTAAAAAAGCTACGAGGCCGAAAATTTGGCAACTTCTACAAATAGGCGCTAGTGCCCATGTGACGGACAGGCTGCTAACTCGGGAAAGAAAAAAGCTAGAAGGCTGAAATGTTCCAAAGGGGAAAAAAGGAGCGAGAAACAAGGAAGCGAAGTTGGAGGCTCATTCCCCTTCGCCTTGTTCAGTTGCCCTTAGGTTTCCTGTAATATGTAAATGCCCCGTCTCTAGGATCGAGTTCCCGCCTCTGTGATATTTAATGTGACAACTGAAAATGAAATGTTGAGTGTGTAATTATTATTGTTTTTGGGCGGCGGCTGAATGTGTGCGGCGGCAGCTTGGAGCTGCTGCCCCTTGCAATTTTCGCGTGTGGCCGGTGGCAGCTTGGAGCTCCTGCCGGGCGAATCCCTGGCTAGTTGTTGTTTTTCTTTGATTCTTTTTGATATTGATCTAATAAATAAATTTTACCTGGCGTTGCACTCATCCTCGCCAGACAGGTCCCTCCCAGCACGCGCCAGACAGGCCCGACCCCATCCCCAGCTCCCCTCCGTTACAAAATTTCAAGGAAATTTTTTCTGACAGTCATGATGGCCAATCTCAATTCTTTTAGCTAAAAGCATTTGCGGAAAGAAAAGGTGTCGTTAGCGAAAAAACCTGCTGGGAACTGTACAAAAAACGCATTTTTGCGTCGACAGTTGGTGCGCTGACCAATTTATTTCGAACTGCAACAAGCTATCTTTACATCTCTCTTGGTTATCACCCTATGTTTGGAAACTGCGTCTCCAAATTTTGGATTTTCCCACTTTAGTAGTTTGGAAGTTGAAATACACAGGAAAATGCACATTTACAAGACGGCACACTGTTTTTCCACTTGCATAATATTGCCTATGTAATCAAGAGCAGACGCGATAAACGAGACGAAATCCACTAGAAATAAGGAACACGGATAGTTAGGGGTGTATGCAGTGGACAGAAGGTCTACTCGAATGAGCGCAAAGTTCAGTAAAGTGGATGCGAAAAAAAAAAGACGTTGTTTTGGTTAAAACTGCAAAGTTTAGTCTTGAAATGTCAAAAAATATCGTCAAAAAGTGAAAGCCTGGCAAGAAGTGTACATTCCAGAGAAATGGACAGCAAACGGAAGCTTTTTTTTTTCTTTTTTTTAATTTACCATTTCTTCTCGAAGTTAATTCGAGACACCATTCCCTGCTGGAAATAAAAATTCTGTAAAACAAACAGCATGCAAGACGTCACAATGGTCGCACGTGACATCAAAAATCTGAAGCACGGGGCAGCTTGTTCACATTTTCAGCAAGCACCGACGAGAAAGCTTATGAGTGGTTGGAAGACAGTAGACACGAATTTGAAATAAGTAGCCAAAAGCAGTACAATTCCGAACCATAATATTCACTGTTTGGTCGTTCACAAAAAGTCAAAGGCTTCTCACAATATAACACTTCGATTTTGGGCAGAATTTCGGCAAGGGAAGAATACTTGCATAAAGTACAATTAATGAAAACAATACTCATAACTACAACAAGAAACATGAGAAATATGTGAAATTAGATACTGATGTAGGTAACAAATCCATGCTGCAAATACATTTGAAAGAAATTTTAAATTTCAACAATAACTGCCTAAATGAGCCAGAGTTTGCTTGACTGTATCTGAGAGGCACGATTTTTCCTAGCGCAAAATCTCAAATGTATGTTTAGAACGCACTGAAATAGAACAGATTGCTGGACAAATGAGTAATGTAATTTTATATTTCACCTACAGTTCCTCCTGTAATTCACTAGCAAACTGAGGTTGAGTATTCATCCGTGAAACGATGAAAGTGAGTCCAACAACTGCTTTGGTAACAGACCGAAGATGACAAAAATTTTCAGAATGCAGTAGTAATATGTCACTGAAACAGAGCAGTGGGTCACAAATAAGATTAATTGCTCCACTGACACTAGGCCCCAAAAAATTATTCAGCAACTACTAAAACTCGCCTCGGTTAGTTCGGGAGCCGAATTGAAATGACTGGGAGGAGAAGGAAGTAGACAGCTGAAGGAGGAGGGACGATGGAACAAAGGGCGATGGCTTAGACCTCCGGGATCGTAAAGGAAGGGAGGACGGAGTTACTGGCTGCAAAAGAGCTAAAATTTCGCTTGGGGTAAAAACTGGAAAGAGGGGTGGGATTCGTGAGGGAGAATGCCACCACGAATTTTTCATGCTCAGCCTGAAAGTTGATGTTGAAGGAAAGTAAGTAATCTTAAATGCATCACCTAGGACCTTACCTAGACAAAAAACCCAGTATCACGATCTTTGCAATTCGAACCCGAACCCAAAAATGACCGCATTTAGCTTTGCGCAGCCGAACCGAGTTTTAACAATTACCTCATACTCGGTCACAGTAATGTGTGTTAACTAAAATAACATCACACTCTCAAGATTTCCAGGACGTTTTTGTAGCAAATTGAAATCCAGTCTGGAAAAGCCACTGCCCAGTGTATCTGATTCACCTGTAACGCACATTTTAAAAGCAATCTAAATTTTTTACAACTGTGCACGTAACCAAAAGATCAGATAATCCCGTTGATTAATGTTATCGCCTGTTTCACTGTTCAGAAAGTACTGCTTATACTTGGAACAGCAGTAACTGATATTCTGTTCTTTAATGCTTCGACCAGTGCTACAAGGCCTAATGGTCAGCACGTTGACAATTCTAACGCTCTTTTCGTCTCCTGATGGAATTACTAGAGCTCTCCCAGTAAAAGCACTTGGCAAGTCTTTAGCCGTTTCAAGCTGTCCCTCATGCGTGTAGAGCACCAACAGTCTGTAGTAGACGCTGTCACCTTTAGACCATAATAAAGTACCTTATCCACACAGAAATTCAAGAAAAAATTAATTAAACAAAGAGCTTCACCTCGCCGTTTGCTTGATATGCTAGTATCGGGTCATCGACAGGTCGCGGCATTGTGTGTATGTCCCAAATTAGCGCCTGACAATCGCCTCCTAAATTTATACCAGGAAGTAGAAGAAAAAAAAAAACACTTTCCGGTCAATGAATAAGGATACCTGCCGTACATATGTGACATGGAGAATGTGGCGCCCAAGCCATTCCATTCATACGCCCACGATGATTGTCCAGTTTCGCTACAGGCGTACACGGTAATCGTATATCAAGGATTATAACCTTAAAGTTGCACGTATAACAAAATAATTGGCCAACGCACGGGCTGCCCGTGCGAAGATGCGTTTTTTCTATAGCTCCCCGCAGATGTTTGTCGCTAACAGCACTGGTTTTTCTCGCAGATGCTTCTAGCTAAAAGAATTTCAGGCTAACCGCCAGGACTGCTAGGAAACATCCCTTCAAAACTCCAGTCTTCTAGCCTCTCTGATGCCCGAGTTAACGACTTACCTGAAAAAAACTTTGGCGGGCCCGTACGCGGGTACCACGCTTACCCGAGGGCTGGTTTTGAGCCCATTAATACCTACTTGGACAGGGAACATTCCCTTAAAATTTCAGCTCCCAAGCAACTCTGGTTCCCGAGTTAGCAGCTTACCTGTAAAAAAATTTGGCTGGCTCTCGTGTGGGTACCACGCGAGTAAGACCGCCCAATTCGGAGATGAGGGCCCGTACGCGCATGTAGATTAAGTTCCCTAAGTTGCATCCCCGCAGCTTTTGTGGGTGTCGAGTTGAAAAATCGGTACAGACGCGCAGCGCATACACAGACACACACACAGACACACAAACACACATACAGACAAACTCTCGTCAATATGCGTTTTCTGCATTGCACAGCTGCAAAAAACGCATAATGACGAGAGGTTGGCTCCACAAAAACACAAACTGATACTGAAGTCGGAAAAGAAGCTGAAACAAACTTCGGTAGATTCTTGCGCAAATGTAGCAATATAATTATGGTCCTGCTTATTACACGCCAAACGCAACAGTGGTGCTCGTGTTGGTTCTTCGAAGATGATTGTCGAATGCTCAAGATGACGCAAATCGAACATCCTCACACTTCCATCGGCCCCTCAAAGTAGGCTTGTTTTACATACTTCACAAAATAATCGGATTCTGGTACACAAGCCCCCCATGGAGAACCAAACTTCAAATATGGCGCTTCCCGACCACCAAAGCGCATCCCTCAACCAACAACACATTCTTTCTCCCGCCTTATTCTTGTACTCAAAATCAATTTCTACATCTCCCTGCATTAAATTTAACAATTCTTACTCGTGTCTCTTTGGCTAAATTTACTCCGCAAACCCCGACCATACTCTCTTCGTCCCGCCCCTCCCCTTCCAGTTCGATGACAGAACTTAGCGGTTCTCCTCTCTGTAACATATTCCAATCAGACGAATCTATCAATAGTTGAATGCAACCCCCTTTATCTCAATGAGCCGCGCCCTAAAAATAACATTTGTTGCTGAGTGAGCAAACTGATTTTTGCTGATTTCGCATCCGTACTAATAATCGCGAAAGGAAAGGAAACATAACAGCAAACCCGAGGCTGCAATGTAATAGGTTTGCCGGGGCGACCATGCGTTTTTGCGCTGAACTTGCAGCAGTCAGGTCGTTAACAGTAGGTAATGGTTCCTGTATTATGGTTTAATACGTCGACTTATTTTGGTTGCGTTTTCGCTTTTTTTGCATACGGAAAGGCATCGGGTAGTACGGTAGTGTTGCATCATGGGGCCGCATAAACCTCCAGCGTGCATAATTGCCAATTTTGCATGAAACCCGGTCATTTTCCGGTGATCGGTGATACATCGAAAAATGCACGTTTTACAGAGTACAGGATGTTGGAAGAGAATTGCGAAAACCGCAAAATTAATTCTGTGGTAAAATTGAGTATTTTTCAAATTCGCGTGCAGAGAATTTCGCCTCCAAGCTGAGTTAAGACCACACATGAGCATAAACTACCCCTGCAAAGTTCCAGCTTCGCAACTTTTCCAGTAAACGAAATTACTTCTTCGCTACAAATATTTTTGATGTGCTTTAAAGAGCGGCCCAAGCGCAATTTGAAATCCCATTTAGGTGTACGATTTTCTAGACAGACGATATTTTAACAAAATTTCAGTTACTGTTTTTCGCCAATCCTCGAGTCGTCACGGCGTCAACTGCGAACTTTGGTGTGACCGTACTGGCAGCGCAAGCCCGCGCAACAGCTGAATTTGAAATCCTTAACTCAAATATGCACAGGGGTATGCCCGTAAAATTTTAGCACACTATCTTGTCTGATTCGAGAGATTGGTTTTCAGCCAAAAAATCTGCATATTTTTTGAGCGGCCCACAGGCAGGCTCAGGCGCACGGGAAGGTCACACGTGGGGCGAGTTCAGGCTTTCTCGTTTTTCGGGTTCTCGAGGCGAAAGTAGGTGGCAAAAAATGCGAACACACGCACATATACACACACATACACATACATACATACATACACACACACAAAAACCTCATGCCAAAATGTGTTTTTGTATTTTCATAATATACAACTCCAGATTAAAACGTACCAGGCTTGAAGGTGCGATCACGCGTTTTTGCGCTGGACTTGAAGCAATCAGGTTGTTAACTGTATGAATGGTTGCTGTTTTTGCGCTCATTAGCGAAAATCGTAAATTTCGCAAAAAGAGAAATGAACAGTTTTTGTTTAACAGTCGTTCCTTGAAAATGACCTAGCTATTCACTGAGCAATTATCTCACCAAAACTTTAAAATGTCCGTACATGAGAACTACGCATGCCTGGGCACCGAATTTGATAAGTTTAATTTATACGTAGGCAGGGAGCATCCCCCTAAAATTTCAGCTTTCCATGGTGTGTGCTTCCCGAAACCAGTTTCCTGTCAAAAAAAGTTTACATATTTTTTTGTGGCGTCTATACGTGGGACTCAAGCGTACGCGAATGACAATATTAAAACGTAGGCTGGAACGCACCAGGCGAGCCGGAGCGATCATGCGTTTTTGCACAAAACT